ACCCCATAGTGTGATATGAAGCGGTATATAAATGAAGCTGCTTTGCTTCGCCCATTAATTACAACTATTTCTTGCACTCCTGGAAACATTCCATGGACCAGCAGCCAATGGCTTAAGGACCAGCACCAGTCTATGGACCCCTACTTTGACTATCACTGCTTTAACCCATAAAATTAATTTGTTTCCTTCACTAATGGGATGCAAAGGAATTTTCTGCATGTAAGTAACCTGGAGGAAGCAAAGCAAAGCAAAAGGACGATTGAGTAAGAGTCTATCTATGGATGCTGCACAGCAATGGGACTGGGAGTCAAGGAATAGGGCACCCATTCACACTACACGATTATAGTGCTATGATCCCACTTTCATTGCCATGGCAACATCCTGTGGACTCCTGGAGTGTGTAGTTTTGTCAGAAGCACCAGAGGAGCTCTCAGGCCAAGGAGCCTACCTTACAACAGCCAGTTCCAGGATTACACAGGATGCGGCCATGATAGTTAAAGTGGAAACATAGTGCTATAACTCTGTAGTGTGAATGGGCCCCAGGGCACCACTTTCTGTTTGCTTGGCAGTAACTGATTTGCACCCGCTTAACCAGAGTACCACACAAATAGTCAAACCAACCAACCAATGGCAAATATACTCTTCTGCCTTTTAACAGCCACTCCATATATCCTCGATGGATAATGCCTGCACCTCTATGGGGCTGTTAAAAGCAGAGTTATAGAGGCTAGCACAGAAGCTGGCAAACATTACATCCACTTTTTCCTCCAGCTGTGAGGCAATTTAGGAGGGGATGGGAGAAGAAAAAAATATCTGCTGAAGAAAAAAAATATCTGCTATGTTTTGGAGAACAAATAATGAACAGCAAAGAGATAGGAGGTCTCAAAGCAGCATCTCTCTCTCTCTCCAGATGTGATAGACTACAACCTCCAACATCCCCTGCCAACATGCCTGAAGTGGCTATGTCAGCTAGGGATGATAAGAAATGTAGTCCAACACATCTGGAGAACATCAGGTTGGGGGAAAGTGATCTCAAGAGAATAAGATGCATCCTGGGACAAGAATGAGATCAAAAGAGTTAAAGAGAGGCTGTGAATCTGCCTTCCTCTGGGGCTGAGTAGGGGAACCCAGCAGGCTGAGCCTTTGGAGGAGGTAAGAAAATGACCAAGGATGCATCCACACTGGAGAAACAATGCAGTTTGACACCACTTAACATCCCTGGCTCCTTCCCACTGAAGCCTGGGATTTGTAGTTTTGTGAGCTGCCAGCGCTCTGTGGCAGCAAAGTCTAAACACTTTGTAAAACTAGAAATCCCAGGATTCCATAGCACTGAAGAGTCGTGTCAAATGGCATTATTTCTCCAGTGTAGATGAACCCTAGGGACCTTATCCCACGGGGCCAAAAGCAGCAAGAATCCACT